GTCCCCCTCCCGTGCTGTCCCCCCCCCACCCCAGCACCGTATTTATACCCCCGGTCTGTGCTTGGTGTGACGTGTCGCTGCGGCTCTGCCCCGTCCGGGGACGTGTGTTCTCGCCCCCCCCCTCTCCACCCCCCTCCCTACGCCTGAGACGGTGGGTGACCCCCTCCCAACCCCCCCCTTGGATATTAAACATGTTTTATGTAGCACTGCCCCTCGTCTCTTCTTCCGCAGCCCCCCCGGCGCGGGGGTCCCGTGGAGGGGATGGTGATGGACAGCCCTGGGCTGCCTTTAATTAGAAAGAGCTTAACAGGGGCGAGGAGGGGGGGGCTGACAGGGGGCAAAGGGGCCCCCCCCCCCTTCCCAGGCTCATCTTTAGGGGAATATTGGATGAAATGGCAAATCCCATTAGTGCTAATCCCAGCTGGGGCGTGGGGACGGTGCCAGCGCCGGGACGGGTGCAAGTGGGGGCTCGGCCCCCCGTGTCACCCCCCAGCCCCGTGTCACACCCTCCCATAAGTCAAAGGGGGGGTTTGAGTCACGTTTGGAGCCAGCTCTGCTGTCTCCAGCCCTGTGTCCCCTCTGGGCTGGTGGCTGGGGGGGCTGCTTTTGGCTGTGCTGATGACACCGAGGAATCAGACTGGGGATGCCCAGAGCTCCCCGGTGGGTGGGAGCCGCAGAGATGACACCGGGGGGCTGCAGTGGGGGTGTCCGGGGCTCCCCGGTGGGGATGGGGGGGCAGCAGAGCCAGCACCGGCGCGTTCCCACCGGCCGGACCGACGGCTTTGTGTGGCTGGGGCTGACCCGGCGCCCCTAATCCCATTAGTGCCCCGGGACCCGCCGCCAGCCCGGCTTCCCCACCTCTCGGCAACCGGGGCTGGTATGTGGGTGCGCCGGTGGGGCCGGCGTGCCGATGCCGTCGTCCGGGAGCTGCACCGGGGCCACCACCGGAGTCAACGGGGCCACCGTCCGGGAGCTGTGCCGGGGGCAGTGCCACCACTGCCAGCAGCGGGGCCATCCCCGCTGGCACGGGGAGAGGGATCCGTGCGCCGGTGTGACCCCCTCAAAACGGTGCTCCCGGTGTTCCCCCCGGGCTGGGGACCCCCAGGCACAGGGACGGCGATGTTTGGGGCAGAATCGGCCCACACCGAGCCCCCCATTCGGGCTCGGGGCTCGGCTTCCCTTGTCCGGCACGGCCGGGGGCTGGAAGGGAAGCTGGGGTGCCAGGAGAAGGGATGCTGTGCACCGGCTGGGGGCCGGGGAGGGGTCCCGGGCCCCGGTGAGTGCCGGTTTCCCCAGGCGGTGCTGCCGCCTGCTGGCACCGGCGGCGACGGGACACCGGGAGCTGCACCGGGAGCCCCCCGGTCCCGAACGCCGCCTGGACGCCCACCCGGACCTTCACCATGAAGCCTACCCGGACCTTCCGCCCGGGACAGTCCCCGGGCAGAGGCGGACCCCGGTGCCCACCGGGCTGGGTGGCACCCGGTGGTACCGGCTGGCACCAAGTGGCACCGGGTGGCACCGGAGCGCACGCGTGGCACCGGGCACCGACGGGGTGGCCGATCCCGGGGACCCCCCTTGTCCTCCGACCCCGCTGGGGCACGGGGGCAGCCCCAGGTGCCCGTCCCGGGGCTGGGGGCGGTCCCGGGGGCGGGGTCCAGGGTGGGGAGGGCGGTCCCGGTGCCGGTCCCGGTTCCTCCGCCGCCAGCCCGGCCATGCCGTCCCTCGCCGCGCTGCTGCTCCTGGCGCTGCTGCTGCCGCCGCCGCCGCTCGCCCGCGCCGGCGAGAGCGAAACCGAAACCGGCGCCCGGGAGCTGCGGCTGGAGACCATCGTGAGCACCGGGCGGGGGGGGAGAACCGGGAGGCACCGGGGACCCCCACGGCCCCTTCGGGCGGGGAGCTGGGACCGTCGGGGCACCGGCGGGACACTGGCGGGTGGCGGAGGCACCGGAGGGGGACGGGGCACCGGCAGGACCCTCTTACTCGGGGCGCGCCGGAGAGCCCGGCCTGGGCACGGGGAGGGGGGACACCGCGTACCGGGAGGACCGGGCTGCGGGATGGGGGTGAGCAGGGGGGGCACGGGGAGGACCGGACTGCCATGGCGGGGCATGGCGAGGACCAGGCTGCGGGGAGGAACACGGCGCACCGGGAGGACGGGGGATCTGGCGAGGGGAGTCCGGTTCGCGGAGCGCTCGGGGGACACGTGGGCACGGGGGGTGCGGGGACCCCGAGGCGGGGGGGCCCCGTCCCGGCTCCCAGTGACCCCCTGTTGCAGGTACCCCCCCCCGAGGGCTGCACGGAGCTGTCGGCGCCGGGGGACACGGTGCACATCCACTACACGGTGCGGGCGGGCGGCGGGAGGAACACGTCAGCACTGCGCTCCCGCGGGCGGGGCGGGGGGCACCGGCACGGGGGGAGTCTCGGCCGGCACCGGGGCGGTACCGAGGGCGGTACCGGGGGTGGACACTGGGGTGGCAACGTGGTGGTACCGGAGTGAGTGTAGGGGTGGCACCGGGGTGGGCATGGGGACGGCACTAGGGTGGGCGTGGGGGCGACGCCAGGGTGGCACTGGAACTGGGATGGGGACAGCCCCAGGATGGGCTCTGGGTGGCACCTGGACTGGCACAGGGGTGGCACTGGGGCTGGCTTGGGAGAACCCGAGGATGGGCATGGTTGGCACTGGTGTCAGCTCGAGGATTGCCCTGACAATGGCCTTGACACTGCAAGTGGTAGGGATGTCCCCAGGATGGCACAGGGGTGGCACAGTGGGGGACACCAGGACTGAGATCAGCACAGGGATGATGGCACAGGGTGGGCACTGGGATCAGCACCAGAGCAGGAGTGGGATGATACTGGGACCCACGTGGAGAAAGCACCAGGGCTGCATCCCCAGGGGGAACCATGGCTGTGACTGTGCCCGTGTGTCCCACAGGGCACCCTGGAGGATGGGCGGATCATCGACTCCTCCCTGAGCCGGGACCCGCTCCAGGTGGAGCTGGGCAAGCGCCAAGTCATCCCTGGTGAGTGGGGGGCTGAGGGGGGGACGGGGGTGGGGGGTACCCAGGGTGCCCCTGACCAGCACTGCTCACCCCTCTGCCCGCTCTCCTGCAGGGCTGGAGCAGAGTCTGCTGGACATGTGTGTGGGGTAAGTGGGGATGGGGGGCACGGGGGTGGGCAGTGTCCCCCCGCTGTGTCCCCACCACGCGGCACCGACGGTGTCCCCGTGGCAGGGAGAAGCGCAGAGCCATCATCCCCCCTCACCTGGCCTACGGCAAGCGGGGCTCCCCCCCCACCATCCCAGGTGAGTGCAGCCCTCGGGGTCCCTGTGGTGTCCCCCCCAGGCCGCCGTGGCCCCCCCGCTCAGGCTGTGCCCCCCTGGCAGGTGACGCCGTGCTGCGGTTTGAGGTGGAGCTGGTGGGGCTGTCCCGGGCCAGTTACTGGCAGAAGGTGGTGAATGATGTGGTGCCCCTGCTGTGCCTGGGGCTGGTGCCGGCCCTGCTGGGGCTCATCGGGTTCCACCTGTACCGCAAGGCCAGCAGCCCCAAGCTCTCCAAGAAAAAGCTGAAGGAGGAGAAGAGGAACAAAGCCAAAAAGAAATAAAACCTTCCCTTCGGCATCTGTGGCTGTTCTGACTGGGATGGTGGTGGGGATGGAGTAGTGGGAAGGGGCTGTTCACCCCTTGAGCTCCATGCCTGCTCCAGGGCCTTGGTGGGTCACGTCAGACCTGCGCAGAGGGTGACAGAGCTCCCCCTGCTCAGTGAATCCCAGAAATAAGACCCTGGAGCACTTTTTTGGGCAGTTTTGCTCTTTTATGGCATCTCCAGGCAGTGACAGTCCCTGGTGTCCCCAGGCACCAGGCAGGTCCCTGGTTTGCCCAGGGGGGTCTCAGCTGGAGGTGGCAGAGCTGGGGACGGGGTCTGGGGGGGTGACCCTGGAGGGTCTCAGAGTACACTATGTCCTGATGTCCCCAAGCGCAGCCCTGCCCCAGCTCGGGGCTCATTTCTGGGGACGTGGCTCTTGGTGGCGAGGAGGGGCTCGAGGTCTTTGAACACCTTCCGGCTGACTGTGACCCCCGCCAGGTACTGCTGGAGCAGCTCCCGCAGGTGCTGGTTCCTCTTGGCCAGGGCTGCCCGTGTCTGCTCCAGCACCTTCTCCTCCAGCTTGGCCTTGTTGAACCGCTGCCAGAACCGCTCCAGCCCCACGTAGTCCTGCATGGCCTGGGGGGAGGCAGGGACCAGGGTTGGGGGTTTCTCAGGGCCGGATCCCGACACTTGTTCCCTGTGGGCACATCCAGGACCCCTGGGCAGTGCCTCCTCACCTGTGCCAGGGGCTCCACGGGGGTCTCCTCCAGGACTCTGCGGGCGTCCCGCAGCTCCCTCTCGGTCAGCGAGGAGGGGTAGAAGGGCAGCACCTTCTCCTCCTCCGTCTCCAGCCTGCGGCACATCTCGGCCAGGCGCAGGAGGCGCTGGGCCTGGGGGTGGGACACAGGGAAGGGCAGGTGAGAGGGGACACCGGGACACCAGGAGGACCCCCCTTATTGCCGGGCTCACCTTCTCCACCACACGCAGCAGCACCTTGAGGGCGGCCCCGCTCTGGCAGCTGAGCGTGGTGAGGTCGGCGCGAGCCGCGGCCATCGCCCGGTTCACCTCCTGGCGCAGCTCCTGGAGCCGCCGCAGCGCCTCCTCCTTCCTCTCCCGCGCCTGCTGGATCTGCTCCTCGTTCTCCCGGGCGTGAGCCGCTATCTGGGCCCTGGTGGCCGCCACCGTGTCCTGGTGGAACAGGAGGGGTGGATGCTGGGGCAGATTCCTTCGTGGGAAGGCTTGGTGGGGCACTGGAATGGGCTGGTCAGGGCACTGACCCCTGGGAGTGTTCAAATCACGGGTGGATGGGGCACTTGGGGACGTGGTTTAGTGGCGGCCTTGGCAGTGTTGGGTTGATGGTTGGACTCGGTAGTCTCAGAGGATTTTCCAACCTCAACAACTCTGTGCAGTGGGCAGAGGTGTCCCTGCTCCCACAGCCACCCAGCTCCCTGCCAGAACCTGGAGCTTCTGCAGCTTCTGCGACTGCGCCTCGATCTCCTGGGAGCTCCTCTCGCACTTCCTCAGCAGCTCCTTGAACTCGACCATCTTGTGCTCCGTGGCCTCGTTGTAGCTCTGCCGGGCCTTCTGGATCTGCTTCCACAGCCCCTCCAGCCTCCCCACCAGCTGCAGGCGGCTGTACTGCTGCTCCTGCCAGCTCTGGGGACACACAGGGGGTGACCTGCAA